CCCACTCCCCCGCCCTCACCTGCCCCCGCCGCTTCTCCCTCTCACTGCCTGACTTCTGCCTTCTTCACCGCCCTCCCCTCAGTGCTTCGCCCACCCTCCGCCCGCCCTCTCCCCAAGTTCCTTCCTACTTCGTGCGCCTTCCCCTCCTCCTCAAGCTGAGGGAAGCAGTCTGGGTGACAGGGCGCCTTGTTATGAGAGGGAAAGTTTGGAAGCCGCCAGTGTGGGGTGGGAGCGATGGTGAGTCTGGGGAGGATACCTGCAGGTTGGAGGGGCTTCCCCTCCTATCGGAGGATAGGCTCTCTTGGAGATATCGGAGAACAGGCTCTCTTGGAGTCAGTGGGATAGGAGATTCTGAATCTCTTTGCCTTAGGCTTGAGGGAAAATCAGGAGCTTCTCAGGATCCTGGGAAAAGACTGAGCTGTGATCCTCACCTTTTAAAACCCGAATGAACTAGATCAGCGATTGTCTGATGGAGCAGGCATGGGGGGAGTTCTGCTGGTACCACCCCAGCGGGCAGTTGGGCAATTGCCTGGTGACCTGTGGGGCAATCTGTACTTTTTATATCATCTTCCTGGGTAGGGAACGACAGGAGCCAGACACTCTGGGAAACTTCCTAGTGGCCTAGCATTATGGGAATGTGCCCATACTCCTGGTTGAAGTCTTCAATTCCGAATGGACGGAGGCCTTGCCCTTCATATGCCTAAGAATTGTGCTAGACTTTCTTGGTCCCAGGGAGCTGAGGTTCTGACCCTCTGGTCCCTAGGGACTGGGCTTGGAAAGGATGGTTGTAGACTAAGCCAGCGGATCCCCGAGGTCTTTATAGGCGCTTGCCTCACATTGTTAAGGATTTTTCTCTTGAGAGGATGTAAGGATCTTTCTCTTGAGAGGGTGCTGGGCTGTGGTGCTCTTCAGAGTTGGGCAGACTCCTGATAGTCGCATCTCTCTACTTTGCGTTGCAGGTGTGGGCTAAGCTGGTGGCCCCGGCTTTAGACTGGACCCCACAATGTTTGCAGAGATGTTCAGGTAGCTGTGGTGATACGGCAGAGGACTCCTCATTCTCCCTCCCAGCTCTCTGAGGGGTTCCCCTTGCTCCTCTGGGGCTTTCCCTGAGTTTTCTTGGGTCTCCCCACAACCTTTGCCTTCCTGGAGTCCTCCCTCAGGTACCTCGCCCAGTTTAATCCTCCTAGTGCCTACATGGATGTCTGTGTTATCAGGCACGCGGGAGCTGATTACACACAATGAATGGGGGCAATGAGAGCAGTGGAGCAGACAGAGCTGGGGGCCCTGTGGCCACATCTGTCCCCATCGGCTGGCAGCGCTGTGTGCGAGAGGGTGCTGTGCTCTACATCAGGTACGGATCTTCCCAGGTCCCCAAGCTCTGCCACTCCAGTTGCCCGGGTTTTCTTTCTTCCGCTTCTCCTCTCAGCTCAGCTCTCTGGTACCCGATTGCTCTCCTCTCTTCCCCTTCCTTCCTCAGCCTTTTTGCTTTCTGTAGCTCTTGGCCTTTGAATCCATTCTCCCTCTTTCTGTGTCTTCCCACATTCCTTACCCTCTGTTCTTCTAGGAGGATCTGTAACTTAAGCACTGTGCTTTAGGAGTATTGCCTGATTCACTGCCAGCTAACCCCATGTCCTCTGACCCTGTCCTCTTCCAGTCCAAGTGGCACAGAGCTGTCTTCCTTGGAGCAAACCCGGAGCTACCTCCTCAGCGATGGGACCTGCAAGTGCGGTCTGGAGTGTCCACTTAATGTCCCCAAGGTCAGAGTGGTGAGGGGTGCCTGAGAGTACAGAGATAAGCTAAAAGTCTTAATGCAAATCACTGACTGAGGTAGCCCTTTCCACATTCCAGCCCCTCAGGGTCCCTGTCCTTGCTTTCCACCTTACAGGTTTTCAACTTTGACCCTTTGGCCCCGGTGACCCTGGGTGGGGCTGGGGTGGGGCCAGCATCAGAGGAGGACATGACCAAGCTGTGCAACCACCGGCGGAAAGCTGTTGCTATGGCAACTCTGTACCGCAGCATGGAGACCACCTGCTCACACTCTTCTCCTGGTGAGTCTTCTGCCACTTTACAGAAGACGGAGGAAAACCTAAGGGCTTGGAAGGCTGGTGGTGGGAGTTCCATGAGAGGGAGCAAAGAGAAAGGGGAGTGGGTGGGGAGCTACGTGGTGAGAGGAGGGCACAGGGAGGTTGGGAACTTGTGGGAGATGGGACTAATGAAGACAAAAGAAAGTTTTTGGAAGGGGAGCCACAGGCTGACCCTTCATTTTTCATTTATTGCAGGAGAGGGAGCGAGCCCCCAAATGTTCCACACTGTGTCCCCAGGGCCCCCCTCTGCCCGCCCTCCCTGTCGAGTTCCTCCTACAACTCCACTTAATGGGGGTCCTGGCTCCCTTCCCCCAGAACCATCCTCAGCTTCCCAGGCTTTCCCCACTCTAGCAGGCCCTGGGGGGCTTTTCCCACCAAGGCTTCCTGATCCAGTCCCTTCTGGGGGCAGTAGCAGCCCCCGTTTCCTCCCAAGGGGCAATGCCCCCTCTCCAGCCCCACCTCCTCCACCTGCTATCAGCCTCAATGCTCCCTCATACAACTGGGGAGCTGCCCTCAGATCCAGCCTGGTGCCCTCTGACCTGGGCTCTCCTCCGGCCCCTCATGCCTCCTCCTCACCACCTTCAGACCCTCCTCTCTTCCACTGTAGTGATGCCTTAACACCCCCTCCCCTGCCCCCGAGCAATAATCTTCCCGCCCACCCTGGTCCTGCCACTCAGCCACCAGTGTCTTCAGCCACTATGCACCTGCCCCTGGTCTTGGGGCCCCTGGGAGGGGCCCCCACGGTGGAGGGGCCTGGGGCACCCCCCTTCCTTGCTAGCAGCCTACTCTCTGCAGCGGCCAAGGCACAGCATCCCCCACTACCCCCTCCCAGCACTTTACAGGGCCGAAGGCCCCGTGCCCCGGTGCCCTCAGCTTCCCACTCCTCATCACTTCGTCCCTCTCAGCGTCGTCCCCGCAGACCCCCTACTGTATTTCGATTGCTAGAAGGGAGAGGCCCTCAAACCCCTAGACGGAGCCGTCCTCGGGCCCCTGCTCCTGTCCCCCAACCCTTTTCTCTCCCAGAGCCATCCCAACCAATTCTCCCTTCTGTGCTGTCCCTGCTGGGACTCCCCACCCCTGGCCCTTCCCACTCTGATGGAAGCTTTAACCTTTTGGGGTCAGATGCACACCTTCCTCCTCCCCCAACCCTCTCCTCAGGGAGCCCTCCCCAGCCCAGGCACCCTATCCAGTCCTCCCTGCCTGGGACCACCAGTGGCAGCCTCAGCAGTGTGCCAGGTATGTGAGTGTTGTGGAGTCCTTCCTCATCCTGGATGGAAAGAGGCAGCCAAGGCATTTAGGGGAATGTTCAGAGAGCTCTTTGAGGGTTTTCTGGGTTGGGGGCAGGGAGGTTGGCTTCTTTGGATGCTGGGAGAAAGGGCCTCCCTTGAGCTGAATTTCTCTCCTCTTTTACAGGTGCCCCTGCCCCACCAGCTGCCTCCAAAGCCCCGGTAGTCCCCAGCCCTGTGCTTCAAAGCCCATCCGAAGGGCTGGGGATGGGGGCGGGCCCGGCCTGCCCTCTGCCTCCCCTGGCTGGTGGAGAGGCTTTCCCTTTCCCCAGCCCAGAGCAGGGCCTGGCACTGAGTGGAGCTGGCTTCCCTGGGATGCTTGGGGCCTTGCCTCTCCCTCTGAGTCTGGGGCAGCCTCCACCTTCTCCATTGCTCAACCACAGTTTATTTGGTGTGCTGGCTGGGGGAGGAGGACAGCCTCCTCCTGAGCCCCTGCTACCCCCACCAGGAGGACCTGGTCCTCCCCTAGCCCCAGGAGAGCCTGAAGGGCCTTCGCTTTTGGTGGCTTCCTTGCTTCCTCCACCACCCTCAGACCTTCTTCCACCTCCTTCAGCACCTCCCAGCAACCTCCTTGCCTCTTTCCTGCCCCTGTTGGCTCTGGGCCCCACAGCTGGGGATGGGGAGGGATCTGCAGAGGGAGCCGGGGGTCCAAGTGGGGAGCCATTTTCAGGCTTGGGAGACCTGTCGCCCCTACTTTTCCCCCCACTTTCAGCCCCCCCTACCCTCATAGCTTTAAATTCTGCGCTGCTGGCTGCCAGCCTGGATCCCCCCTCGGGGACACCCCCCCAGGTGAGGATGGGGGTGAGTAGCTGGGACAGAACACAACGTAGAATGAGAGATGGGAGCTGGGAATCAAAAGCTTTCAGTTTCATTCCTGAGCTCTTCCTTGGGGCCTTTGGGGAGGCCTTAGTTCTTGGCTGGGGGTAGGATGACTACAAGAATTGGGTCTGTATTTAATAAGCATGGCTTATCTCACTTGAGGCTTCAGTCAGATAGTGGATGTGAAAGCACTATAAATCTGTTGAGTATTTTACACACGTGTTAGAATCATTCTTTTTTCTTAGCCCTGTGTCCTGAGTGCCCCCCAACCTGGACCACCTACCTCCAGTGTCACCACGGCAACTACTGACCCGGGAGCCTCCTCTCTGGGCAAGGCCCCCTCCAACTCAGGGAGACCCCCCCAACTCCTTAGCCCTCTGCTGGGTGCCAGCCTGCTGGGTAAGTCTGAGGGAGTGTGAATTCACACTCTTGGTGTGAAAAAGCAGCCGTAAAACTTGGGGAGTAGTGGCTGAATAAATTGGGGAAGAAAGTCTTTGGCCACTGGGTAAAGCCTAAAGAGAATAGTAGGGTCTGCTCAGCCTAATTGGTTTGCCTAGGGAGAGACCCCTGACTATAATTTCTCAACAGGTGACCTGTCTTCGCTGACCAGCAGCCCTGGAGCCCTCCCCGGCCTGTTGCAGCCTCCTGGCCCTCTTCTCTCTGGCCAGTTGGGGCTGCAGCTCCTCCCTGGGGGGGGAGCTCCTCCACCCCTCTCAGAGGCTTCTAGTCCCCTAGCCTGCCTGCTACAGAGTCTCCAGGTGAGGGTGTGGGCATGTGTTTGTCAGGGAGATAATTTTTTCTCAAACTGGAAATTTAGGGCTTTCTGAGTTATAGCAGAAGAGGGACCGTATTTGGGATTGACTGAGAACTTATTTTTTGCCAGCAGATCCCTCCAGAGCAGCCAGAAGCCCCCTGTCTACCCCCTGAGAGCCCCGCCTCAGCCCTCGAACCAGAGCCTGCCCGGCCTCCCCTCAGTGCCTTAGCCCCACCCCACGGTTCTCCCGACCCCCCAGTCCCTGAGCTGCTCACTGGGAGGGGGTCAGGGAAACGGGGCCGGAGGGGAGGAGGGGGACTTAGGGGCATTAATGGTGAGGCCAGGCCAGCCCGGGGCCGAAAGCCTGGCAGCCGGCGGGAGCCTGGCCGACTGGCCCTCAAATGGGGGACACGTGGTGGCTTCAATGGACAAATGGAAAGGTCCCCAAGAAGAACCCACCATTGGCAGCATAATGGGGAGCTGGCTGAAGGGGGTGCTGAGCCCAAGGATCCACCCCCTCCTGGGCCCCATTCTGAGGACCTTAAGGTGAGTGCAGAGTGCTGGCAGTCTGGGCTCAGGGGCTCTGAGGAAAGGCTGGGGCTGTGGTACCTTTTTCGAAATTTCCCACACACACAGTCCATCTTTTCTCAGGTGCCCCCGGGAGTAGTCAGAAAGTCTCGTCGTGGCCGTAGGAGAAAATACAAGTGAGTGATGGGCCTACTATAGTGCTGGCCTTTGCCTACTACTTTTTGGTTTGGACAGTTCTAATGTCCAAATAGTGGCTTGGTTTTCAAAAGGGCAGATACTTATTTGAATATGAGTAAGGATATTATGCCTTTACTATCCAAATGTAAAAAGTTTCCCACCCAAACTTCTGAAATTCACCTGGTGCTTGGGAGCTGTTGCTGATCATCTGTGCCCCTTATTGCAGCCCTACGCGGAACAGCAATAGCTCCCGCCAGGACATTACCTTGGAACCCAGCCCTACAGCCCGAGTAAGTGTGTGTTTGGGTGGGTGGGTGTATGGGTAGGGTGTAAGCGATGAGGCAACAGGAGTAAAGGAGGGTTAGAGGGAGTGGGGAGAAAAGACGACTTCCTGATACCTAGCAATTGACCACTTCTTTCAACTTCTCCTCTGGTATTAGGCGGCTGTCCCTCTGCCTCCCCGGGCCCGCCCTGGCCGTCCTGCCAAAAACAAGAGGAGGAAACTGGCCCCATAGCAGCCATACCTGGAGCTGGATCTAACCCTGATTGGGGAGAGCTGAGTGCTGAGCCTTGGGAGCCCCTGCCAGCCACCTGCACCTGTGGACAGTGGGTGGGGGCACTACTCCCCACTCAGAGCACAAATGCAACTCCTTCCCTACAATCCCATCCTGAGCCATTGCAGGGGGCAGGGAAGTTCACCCCCTCCCCCCCAAGCCATGTCACTGAAAAGGCCTGGGGGGGGATGGTATATGGCCCTTTCCCCACCAGGCGCTAAGGGGAACACCCCCTTCCCCAGGTCTTTTATTTGTTTAAGTTATTTTTGCACAAATGACTCTTTTATATTTAATTCGATTTCATTGCCTCCCTTCTTAAAGCCAACAGGCTCAGTTTACAAACCTGTGAGCTACTGTTGGCTGCTGCCCTCCTTCCCAGTGAAAGGTACAAAGCAATAAGCATCATGCATCCTCCCCTTACCCCTCCAACACCCCTCTGCCTCTGGCTCAGGTTGCTCAAAGCACAGATCCCCTCTTACCCCTGTCCCCAGGTTTGAAACACATAGCCTCATTTCAAGGTGTAGCCAGGTTCCCCCCACTTTCCTCTGGGATATAAAAAAGGGGGTAAGGGGGCAAAGAGAGCCCTCTGGGCCTCTCCTCCCATACACACTACACTGCCCCTTCTCCCCCCATCAAAACGCTCAGAGACGTTGTGATGATGCGACTGAGGATTATGCAACGTGGTCCAACCGGAGCGGCCAGCATGACCAGCTGTCCAGGGGCTGCCTCCTGCCTTTTCTTTTGTAAAGACAAGACCCTTGGGAGTTTTAATTCTGTTTTGTACTTGCCCTATGGGGCCTCCACTGCTTTTCTATGGGAGACACTCTTAATTTAACAGATGAGAATATTTTGAACCTCTGGCTCTGGCTCTGTACTCATTTTTTATTTAGTTCTTTGGTAAGAACAGGTTACAATTTAAATCCATCTGTTGTAGTATAGAGTGGCTTAGACTGCCTGTTATGATGAATGCCTATGTCCTAGTGCTGCTTCCTCCCCAGGAAACACAGCAGAGGCCACACAGAGTACAACAGCATTTAATGGTCAGAAACAGTTGTACAGTATTAGAGTCAGCCACAGAAGCTGTGTTGGAGGACAAGACCCAATCCTTCCCCACACCAGGCAAAGCAATATTGGACATGAGCTGGCATGTGGCTGGGCCCACGTCCTTATCCCCCAGGCCTGAGGGGAGACCACCTTCTAATAACCAACCCCTAGCTACCACTCTATTCATCAGGGGAGGGGTGTAAACCCCACATGCAAGAAGAACCCTTGCCCCCAGTGTCAAATGGGATGGGGATGCTAGAGTTATAGTAAAGGGGAAACCCTATGTAAGCTGTTAACAGTTCACAGGGGTAGGGATTACCCCTGTTCTCCAGCTCCCAAATGTGCTCACTTTCCCAGCTTCTTCATCCGTTCATCAATGCTGGCAAAGTTCCCCTCAACTGTGGCCAGGTTTTCACGCATGGTTGTCTGCACCTACAAAGTGGTAGAGAGGTTTTACTCTTTGTCAGGTCCAGATGCTTAACTGCTACAAAGTGGTAGAGAGGTTTTACTCTTTGTCAGGTCCAGATGCTTAACTGGATGAGGACCTGAAGGAATTCTCTGAGAGAAGACAAGAAATGGAAGCAGTTTGTGGGCCACAGAGGGGGGATGTCTATAGCACCAATTTTCAAGCTACCCTTAAGAGTACCACAGACCAAGCTCTAGGTGTGCCAAGCAGACAGGACTCTTGAGAATTCCCATCCTGACTTCAACCAGAACAGTTTTTAAAAATCTGTTTTATGCAATGAGAGCTAAATAAGATTTTGTTGAAATGAGCGTTTCACTAGTTCAAAATGTTAGAAAACTGCTCTGGAGGAAGAGGATGTTATTCTAAGTCCTTATATATTTTTTCATTTATCTCAGTGATCCTGTGATTGATGCTGGTCTCTCGACTTTAATGCTCCTTTCAGCACTGAGAATAGTGCCTCCAACAGAAATTGTGGACTTGCGGCCAGGTGCAGTGGCTCACACCTGTAATCCCAGCACTTTGGGAGGCCGAGGCGGGTGGATCACTTGAGGTCAGGAGTTTGAGACCACCCTGGACAACATGGTGAAACCCCATCTCTACTAAAAAAACACAAAAATTAGGTGTGGTGGCGTGTGCCTGTAATCCCAGCTACTCAATAGGCTGAGTCAGGAGAATCGCTTGAGCCTGGGAGGTGGAGGCTGCAGTGAGCTGAAATCACGCCACTGCACTCCAGCCTGGGCAACAGAGCGAAACTCTTATCTTAAAAATAAAAAATAAAATAATAAAAAGAAATTGTGGACTTGCTGTGTGCCAGGCATTACTAAAAGAATGAAGGAACTAGGTGAGGCTCATTGTCCAGGGTCAGAAAGGAAGCAACAGAACCAGATTAAGGCCTGACTTCTAACTTCAAAGCCCAGATTCCTTCCAGTGTACTGTGCTTATCAGGGAGAGTAAAGCTGAGACGACAGAGGGAAAGAGTGGGGTTTTATAAGAAAACATGTTCACTAGCCCCTAACAATTTGCCTATATTATTTCACCTCATCTACATAACTCTGAGGGAGGTATAATTTCCCAAATGGAAAGATGGAGGTTCATAGGTTAAATAAGTTGTCGAAGGGCCTTCACATTGAAAACAGGATGGAGACTCCAGACCAACCCCCTGCCACAACACCATGCTACAAAATAGGCTACAGCAGAACCCTATAACACTAGAGAACCTAGTTTGTACATGCTAGAAAAAGGAGGCAGATCAACAAAGGGGCACACACCTGGGTCAAGAGGGTGGTATTGTCCTTCAGGGAATTAGCAATCATCTGCTGGGTGGTATCCAAGTGTGTCAGGAGCTGACCAAACTGCATGGCTATAAAAGTAAGAAAAGTATGGTTGAGACTAGAATCCAAGACGAAGGAGGGGACCAAAAGTTGCCCATTTTTCAACTTCTCTTAGCACTCCTCGCAGCTGGCCTCCCACCTTGCTCGTGCAGCTGCTTGATGGTGACAAGTCTCTGCACCAGCTCAGGGAGGGTGGAGGCAATGGGGCTCCAGCGCTGTATAGTTTCATATAGCTGGTGCACCTGAAGGGACACAATAGGGCCCACAGGGGATGACTGAGGCAGCCAGGTCAGTAAGCACAGGCTGCTACTTCACCATAGTGGGGAAAAGGATCAAGTGGGCAGAGGGAAGCACTGCCCTGACATTGCCAGCTGATAAGAGCTTATGAAGATGGGGACCTGAGGAGTCAGTGTGTTCTCATGCTTTGACACTGCTACTCGGAGAACCTGAGGGAGTGGGAAGGAGATGGGAAAGGTGTCTTCCTGACCTTGCTTTGTGTATCTGCATCTTCCACAGAGGCTTTATGCTTGGCAATCTCGTTCACCTTTCCCAGGACACTCTGAAAACACAGATTTTAAGGTTGATAGGGCATCCAGGGCTTCCAAAGTCCCAAGCTATCCATAATTTAATTTTCCCTCCATTTAATACCTGTAGCCGAGCCTCTACTTGATCCAAAACTGCAAGGTCCAGGGCGCTCACCTTTGCTTGCAACAGCTCTACAGTCTCCTGGGTATGAGAGTTGGGACAAGCATCATGAAGAGGAAAGGATCAGACTAGGAAGAGGCCTCCCATATTCCACTAAATTAATACATAGCTACAAACTCAAAAATAATCCTCAAAGCAAACCCAATCCCAATTATCCCCTCTGTAATCCAAACACTCCAGTTTCTTCCAAACTCACCATGAGACAGGCTCCCTGTAGACCTGCAGAAAGGGGATTCTGGTGGGAAAGGGAGGGAAAAAGTCAGTGGTCCTTGTATCTCCATGATTATCATCTTCTCCCATCTTTCCTGGTTCTAGCTGGGAACCCACTAGCTGATCCCTGTAACTGAAGCCCTTTGATGACTCCTCCCAGGCTTATGTGGAATGTCGTAGACCTTAAGGCCTAGAGTTGCAGGATCTAAGGCTCAGATTATGTACAGGAGAACACCTGACCTGAGCATCCTGATCACAACGTACAGCTGCCTCCAGCTCTGTCAGGCGCTTTTCAAGTTCTGCGACCTAGTGGGAGGAAGGAGGTGAGATTTGCCGTCTGCTTCCCTGCTGCTGCAGTGGGAGGAATACGATCCTGTTCTACTCTGCATGCCACTTGCCACCCCAAGGAACTCCTTTCCCTGGACACATACCTAGCCACAATCTTAAAATCTTAACCGAAGGTAGATGGGCAAGGGAAACATAGAGAATGAGGCCAGGTAAAGCGGCTCACGCCTGTAACCCCACCACTTTGGGAGGCCGAGGTGGGCGGATCACGAGGTCAGGAGATGGAGACCATCCTGGCTAACACGGTGAAACCCCATCTCCACTAAAAATACAAAAAATTAACCCAGCGTGGTGGTGGGCGCCTGTAGTCCCAGCTACTCGGGAGGCTGAGGCAGGAGAATGGTGTGAACCCAGGAGGCGGAGCTTGCAGTGAGCTGAGATAGCACCACTGCACACCAGTCTGGGCAACAGAGCAAGACTGTGTCTCGGGGAAAAAAAAAAAAAAAGAAAGAAAAGAAAGAAACATACAGAATGAGGAATCAGAAGAGGAATCAAGAGGAATCAGAGGAATCAGAAGCCTTCCCAGCACTCTCTCCTTGGAGAGAGACAGGAAAATCTCTAGGGCCACGTCTCCCCTTGGCTTCCCAACCAACGCTGTATCCACACTTACTTTGGCAGCTTGAGAGAACTTGTCCTGCTCAGGCCGAGAGTGTAGTTCATAAGTGACAAGGCTGCTATCTAGGGGAATCCCAGTGGTTTTTCCCCCTGAGCCACCTTTGCTGTTCTTCGTTGCTTCCAGCTGCAGCAGTAGGCGTCTAGTTAGGAGACCGAGTAATAATATCATGACTGGAAGGAGGAGGGTCAGTCACTCTCCCTCACTTTTGGCTCATAATCAGCATTAAGAAACATCTAGGCCACTTCTCTGCCACTTAGCACCCCTGTCAGTAGCTGGCTGAGTCCATCCACAACCCCAATCAGCAATGATTTTTCAACAAAGTAGGGTACCCACTTAGCCAGGGCGCCATCAGGGTCGGTAAGGTTGATTGCAGCATCTGGTCCCAGCAGCTTCTCCAGGTGGGAAGCAACCAGCTGCTGCTTCAGGGCTGCCAGCTGTTTAGCCAGCACCACAGGGGTCAGCTTCTCCTCTGTGGCTGACTCCTTCACTGTCGTCTAGTGTGAAAAAAGGTAGAATCGGGGGATGGCAAGAATGAATCAAAAAGCAAAAAACCAGGTCAAGCCCTTTACAGGTAGTTGTAGCTGGAGGTCACTGGGATGGTTTTTAGCGTGACAGACTGCCCACCTGTATGTTGCACTGCATACAGATGGATGCATATTTCTAAACTCTGGAAACCTTAGCCCCTTTATCAATGAGCTTAAGGAATCTTTCTATCTTTCTTTTGTTTTTCGAGATGGAGTATTGCTCTGTCGCCCAGGTTGGAGTGCAGTGGCATGATCTCAGCTCACGGAAACCTCCGCCTCCTGAGTTCAAGCAATTCTCCTGCCTTAGCCTCCCGAGTAGCTGGGACTACAGGCATGTGCCGCCACGCCTGGCTAATTTTTTGTATTTTTTAGTACAGATGGGGTTTCATCATGTTGGCCTGGCTGGTCTTGAATTCCTGACCTCAGGTGATCTGCCTGCCTTGGCCTCCCAAAGTGGCAGGATTACAGGCGTGACCACCGTGCCCGGCCAGGCAGGGAATCTTTCTCTTCTTGCTTGAGGTCTTCCTCTACTGTGTAAGTCACAACAGAGAGGGGAGAAGAGAGTTTGTAGTTACCTTGATTTTTTCAACTTCAGTTGTCAGCTCTTGGACCTCATGCA